ATTGCACGTACACTTAAAATTATCGCCATTTTCAGGGACTTTTTTAAATAAAAACGATTTGCAATCTCATCTTGTTTAATCACCTTTTAAAATATAATTACTTTCGTACATTTGCTTTTAAGTTGTAAACAGTGGACGTAAAATTCTACTAATGGATTTTCGAAAATCTATTGCTAATTTTACACGAAGAATGTCGGAGCTTCCAGGCAATTCGTGTGTGTATGTGTGTGTATATGCCGCGTATCAATGATTTTATTAGGATGCTGTGCACTCACTAATAACCCCACATTTGCATATTTCATATTTAGTTTAGAGGAACTAACCAATGGGCGCAGTTTGTGGGTCATTCAAATAGGTGTCATCGGATTTCTTCCAAAACACTCGTGGCATTGGATAACCAACTGCTACACAAGTTAAATTGAGTGCACCGCCTGGCGCCGTTTTATATACCCGTTCCAGTTTATAAGAAAAATATGGAGGCACACGACGAACTGGAAAACTGATGAAGTAAAAACAAAAAATCCAGCTATTATTAAAGTAATAATTTATCAAAATTCACACTTTCAAGGATATTTTTTCGGGATTTTTTTTTCCATACCTCATTAAAAATAAATAGTTGAGAATGCTCCATGCTTGCCAAAAAAGCATGGATGAGAACTGTTAAAATTCTTGTGCAGCCGCACTACTCTTTGGTAGCGAAGCGTGATTCTAGTACTAGCAATCACTGTGACAATTTTTCGCACTGGAAGAATTCGTTTGACCAGCTGTATGGAATTATGTGGATGAGAAAGGCCCAAAACTTTGTCAGTTTTATCAGTGGAAAAGAGGCACGACGATGAAACAACACCTAATCAGATGTTTGAAAGTTTGTTTTGTAAACAAATTTTTTGCCTTTCATTATCTAAATCGATTTTGACCAATAGTCTTTGGCAAAATCAATTAAATTAAGTCAGTTAATTGAAAATTTATCAAATTTTCAAAGCACAGTTTATGTGTACTCGCTATCAGATTGCTTCTACGCAATTCTCGAACAGGGGAGTCGTCGATAGCCTTGCTAGCGGGTAGTTGCTGTTGTTGCTAGCAACAGTTCGAATTCTTTCACACAGCGTGAATACCAAAGAGGTTTTAGCGTTTGTCTTGAATTTACACACGACGATTGAAAACATACCGAATATGATTGTACTTCTGAACGAAGCCCCTGCCCTTGGTGAGGCTCATTATAGTGCTCCATTCAAAAATGGCTTGACAGCAAGCTGAAGCTAGTTCAATTTCTCAACCTGTGACAGTGCTAGCCTGTTATCTTGATGATGCAGTGATTGATGAGGTGGCGCTCTTTCTTGTCGGCAAATTTGAGTCAAAATTCAGAATTTGAGGAAAAATGCCAACTGACATAATGAGGAGGGAAATTCAGCTGGTCGCAAGAAGTAACCTTTGACGTAGGGACGTGAAACTCAAAAAGTAAAACCTTTAACATAGAGATGAGCAGCTTTGGAATGAGTAACACCAAGTGCATTCCTTGCAACACATTCATATTTTCCCTGATCTTCCTCTTTCGCTTGCTGGATCATCAAAGCACCTGGATTTTTTCGAAACTTGATTTTTGCAAACTCGACTAAGGATCTATATTCTATTTAAAAAGAACGTGCAGCACGGTGTTTTCGTATGAAGACGAATTTGTGAGTGTACGTGGAAAGATAGAGAAGCACAACAGGAAAGAAAAATGTTTGTTCTAGAAATCAGTAGTTCTACTATAAACATGACAAAAATATTTAATCGTGCTTGAAGTAGCTATAATTCATAGTTTTCTCTAATAGTGCAGCTGGTAACTTTTTTTGCTTTGATCAATACTCTGGCGGTCAGCCTCTTGGCGATTCAGACGTTCGTTAAGTCTTCTGAAGAAACTGTCAGCTTAATGGTACTTAAGAGAGAAGCATTTGGCAAGGCTGTAAAAACAGTAGTATCCAGAAAAGAGGTTCGAGCAGTCCTCATAAATGCTCAGGCTGGCCCTAAAAAATTCATCTTCCAATTAATCTTACAGTTAAGGGATGAAACATATTACCTACATGTTCTTTCACTATGTAATTCCATCCTCGATAACCTCATATTTTGAGTTAATTTTGTCAAATTTACAGCATTTCCGAAAACTATGGATATTCAGAGAGAATTTCGAGGAAAGAAAAGCACACACCACAATAACTGTACTTTTGAACGAACCCTACTAATTCTTTCTAATAATTAAATTACTGTGCAAATCAAATCGGCATCTTAAAACATCTTGCCTAGTCGGTAAGGTATCTCACTGTGATCTAGAAGTAATAAAGTTCAAAATGAGGTGGTGATGCCCAACACGCGTCAACGGCTTCTTGAAACGAGTAAAACTTTTGAACGTTTCTGTCATGGGAAAACTACTGAGTTAGTAATGTTCCCAGGAAACAAAGCGAACGCCAGGATCATTAGCATGCTGACCAACAAGCGATGCACCACTGGTCAGAACAACTGGAAAAGTTGTCAGTTGCATATGTGGCGACAAAATACCGACAACTATTTCTAAGGTGTGTGTGTGTGTGTGCTCGAAAGAAGTGTGATTCAAAGCAAATGCAAAACTGTGGGTGCGCGTGCTTGCATTGTTCTATCACAGAGATCTTACCAACTGCTCTGAATCGAAAATCTAAAATT